TTCAGGGCAGCTCCAGGGCCTGCATTTTACAGGAAGTCAGACTTGATCACAGTCGTCCCTTCTGGCCTTAGGATCTATGAGCCTAATACAAGAAGGGAAGAAACCTGAACACGGGGCATCGGCAGCAACAGCCAACTTTGTGTTTCAATCTGGCCCTCCCCACCTGCTGCATAACAGTCTCTAAACACGCCCACGCCCCCTTCGATCCCGCCATACCTCTCAGGTCATCAGTGAAGCTCTCCCGTTTTTCAGGAGGAATACGACGACATAGTCATCAACAGTGGACACTATAAGAACTGACGGGGCCGGGCCGGCATCCCCTGCAGCGTGAGCCGTTACCCATCGTGGCAGTGAACCTCTCCGTAAAAGACTCGTGTCCTGCTCTGCCGCTGTGGGAAGAAGTTTGGCAGTGGCTCAATCTCTCCATTCCCAGCTAGTTCCGACTATTTATCCAAAAGCTGCAGTTTCTGGCAACGCTCAGTGTAAAGCTCCCACTACTTGGAACCGGTAGCCGTGAGCCTTGATCTAATCCGTTTATTTCCCCCCCCTTGTTCGTTTTCTTTTGTGTTTCTTAGCTCAGTCAGTTTATATCGAGTTATTTTGATTACGTTAAAATAAAAAAAATGGTATTTCGGCACCTGCTGCTCTTTGCAGTCGCAGCTGGGATGGACTGTCGGCAGGATTTCTCTGCTCACTGTATCCTTTGCCCTGTTGAGCCACTTGTCGTTTGCATTCGAAGCGGGAGCGTCATCCCTATCCATGCAAGGGGTCCTGCTGGAGTCCACAGATGCTGTTCACATAACCAAGCAATTCGGGTCAGTGGGGAGCTGCACAGCACATGTTACATTTCCGGCTGGGTTTTAGCTGCCTTTCAAACGCCCTGGGCCTGTTTGCTTTTATCTTGAGCAGCACTGAGTGCCGCCCAACTCCAGTTGGATTTAGTACTTGGGAACAGCTAAAAAGAATCCGGCCCCATCTAAGCACCTAAATGAGGTGGATGGATTTTCACGAGCGCCGTGCAGCCCTGGTCTCCTCCTGCAGCCGTAAGGCCGAGGGTCGGTGAGTGCTCTTGAAAATCTGAGCCTCTGCTAGCGTTTAGGATCTGTCGGCCAAGACAGGGCAAGAGCTCCGGCGCAGGGTAGGTGGATTGAAACAGGCAGGGCCGGGGAGGAATTCACAGGAGGAGCAGATGAGAGATGAGGCTAGTGGAAAGAATGGGGGTGGGGTGTGTGATGAGCAGAGGGAGTGACAGAGTGAGGCAGAGGAGGGAAGAGAGGCCAAAGAGCGAGACCTTTTAGATCTCGAAGGTGGGGGTGAGAGATTGGAAAGAGTCAAGGTGCGTTTGGAGCTGTCTGATTTGGGTCAGACATGGAGAAGGAGGGACTGCGCCTGTGCCCTGTCTGGGGTAGGAACCGCGCATCTCTTGTACCTGTGCATAGGGTCCAAGATGCATCTGTGTCCAGAAAGGCCAATCTTGGCTTCTTAGCAGTTAGCCAGTACTGCAGGGTGGGACCATCTTCATTCCTTTCCCTGAGGAGTCGGTTTTCTTCCTCGGTGCCCGCTGATTGGCTGTAAAGCCTTGTTCGTGCTATCCTCGGTGCTGGGTGTCAATGGGGTCTCTTGGGGCTGTGTGAGAAGCAGTTGTCCCATCCCGTAACGTTTTTAGAGATCAATAAATTTGCCTGCTCCAAATTTGAGCTGAAAACTCCCACCTCGGCCTTTCACGAGCGGAACGGCTGAAAATAATTTCAGTTGCGTTGTTAAATTTTGATCGTTTTGTTGTCTGAATTTATTCATTTCAAAACCAAAAGTTGTTTTGATGACAAAACTGGAAACTTTCCTTGTTAAAACAGGACGTTTCACTGGTTTTAAACCCCCAGCCGCCCCCCAGTGTTTTGGATTGAGCAAGTCAGCCAAAGCAGCCCTGTTCACAAGCAGCTTTGGCTCTGACAAATTGATGTGGGTTTTTTTCCGGGGGGGAAAACCGGTTTGTCAAATTCCCAACTAGCTCTGATCTTTGTGTCTAACGTGATGGAGATGGGACCGCTGGGTGCTGTGCTGTCTGAAATGGCTTCTGTTTGCCGGGAGGGAAAGCGGGGGGGTAATTTTGGAAGAGCTGCCCTAGGCAGACCTGGGACTTGATTTAGAAACTGGCTGCATGAGTTACAGATGGTTTATTAGTAAGACCTACCCCCCCCCCATTCCATTTGTGGTTTGGAAAGGTGTGGGGAGAAAGGATCTAATTCTAAACAAAATCCTTCAACGAGGCTGCTGTTTTCTCCTTTACATTCTCATACGTCTTGTAAATGAAAACACAGGCCAAAATGTAAGGGGAGATTGGGGCTCTCTGTTTTTAGGGGGCCGGGGTTAATTCTCAAGCTCTGAGCACCTTAGCTGACCTCAATGTGATCTCAGTACCAGGAGGTGGGGGTGGGATAATGAGGTTCTGGGTGTGTCTTTGGGGGAGGGGGGCCTAGAATCAGTAGCCTCCCTAGGAAGTAGGGTTGGATTTTTAGTTCACTTGCCCCAGTGCGAAGGACTGAGGGACCTGACTGTTAAGAGTCAATAATACTTTTCCCAGCTCGCAAGTGGACCAGGATTGAGCCCTCTAGGCCTCCGCACTTATTACTAAAGGGCTTGTCTAACACGCAAGTTGTAGTACTTAAACACCTGGCTCTGTGCAGCAGGAGATAACCACGGAGGTCAGTCTCATTGTCCCCATTTTACAGATGGGGAAACAGATGCACAATGAGTTGGCCACGGTCACCCAACAGGCCCGTGGCCAAATTGGGAGTAGAACCCAGGTTCACCAAGTCCTCTGTGCACTAGATCACACTGCCTCTTTGTGTCTTTCTAGTTAAAGTTGTACAATCCCATCTGTGGGCATGCAGTTATATTGTCACAAAGGTGCTTTATTCCCCTCTGGGAAGGGGAATAGGCTGTACCAATATAAGGCACCTTTAGACCAGTCTAACTGACCACACTAGCGGTTGTACTGTCTTGCTATCAGTTTAAAAACAAAACAAAAAAAAACCCCACAAACCTGTCACCCCGCAAATGACCTAGTTCTACTGTTACAAACATTGCTGCGTGGATCAGGCCTCAAACCTGGCGTTCTTGGAATGGACAGACCGATACCCAGCCCCACAGATGGGTTTTGATCCATTGGATGGGGGACACTTTTGTTCACGAGGCTCCTCCCAGGTTAGCTCCTGAAAACAACCTGGTCCCTCTGGCTCATTCTTCTCGAACACCACACTGAAGAGGCTGGCTGAAGAAACTCGGCAGAAGGGAAATGGCTTTCTCTATGTAAGCATTGTCTCTTCATTTCCCCAGCTGGTTCTGTGTCTAAAGACCCAGATACCACATCACTCTCATCCAGTGCGTGTGGATTTTAAGCTATGTTGTGAGTTGTGTGTGAGCTGTCGTTCAACTTTATACGGTTCTGTGTCTGTGTGTTCTTTCTCCCCACCAGTCTTTGCTTTTGCTGGATCCCGCTCTCTGTGTCGTGTATGTTCTTGACCAGTGATGGGGGATGAGATTAAAGCTACTGCTTGAACTATACAGCGTGTCCGGTGTTCATGTGGAGGGCAGGGCGTTTGGACAGAGGACTGGACTCGCTGCATCACCGCTATAGTCCATCTCTAATAATACCCGGTTCTTACATAGCACATCCCATCCATAGAGCTCAAAGTGCTGCACAAAGGAGGTAAGCAGCATTTTCTCCCCATTTTACAGACAGGAAAACTGAGGCACAGAAAGGGGAAGTGACTTGCCCGAGGTCATGCACCAGGCCAGTGGCAGAGCTGGGCCTGGAACCCCTGGCTCCTGAGGTCCAGCCCAGCAGTCTACCCACTAGGCCATGCGTGCCTGATCGAGTCCTGCATGCTGCCCCCCCCCACTTCCCTCTCCGGAGTTCTGACTTCGCTACCTTTTCAGTTTCCTCAAATACTTCCTTTGTTCTTGTGTTGGGAGAAGAGATGCTCCCGATCTCTGTGTCCAGGAATCTCACTGCTAGCATTGTGCCCTACTTTGGCCCTGTCTACACCCAGGGCGCTCCAGCTGCTGCAGGGGAGATTATTATGCGTAGCCAGAAGCAGTTTTTCTGCTGCTGTAGTTAATCTGGGTGGTGGTCGCTGGGTCAACAGAAGAATTCTTCCAGCCACCTAGCTGGAACCAGGCACTCAATTTTTCACACCTCTGCACACGTGACCCACTTGGCATTGACGGGCAGAGCTATTGTAGCCGAAGCTAGTCTGGTAGCGTTTGACTTTGCGGGTGGAGTAACTATTCTGCCGTAGAGCCACTCATTCCAGGATCGAGTATCCAAAGTGGGCTGTGATATTGAAATAGCTACGCCAGCCCGTTTTTACCTCCTAAATCCTTCAAAGCCCCTGGAATGTATCTAACAACTAGGCTTTATGCTGGCTCTGCCTAGGGTGACGTCAGCTTATTAGCTCTTACAGAGCGCTGTGTTTTCCAAGCACACAGAATCCGAGACGTGTCGGGCTGGAAGGGACCTTGGGTGGTCGTCTAGTCCAGTCCCCGGCCCGCAGGCAGGAGCAAGTCCAACCTGTCCTTAAAACCCTCCAGTGATGGGGATCCCACAACCTCCCTGGGACGCCTGTTCCAGAGCTTCACTCCCCGGAGCGTTGGAAAGTTTGTCCTGATATCTCACCTCAATCTCCCTTGCTGCAGATTAAGCCCATTACAGCTTGTCCTCCCTCCCAGTTTTGATTTAAAAAGTGCCACTGGTGGACAGCCCTTCGTAGATTGTTCCAAGTGTTAACTATCCTCTCTGTGAAAAATTTACACCTTGTTTCCAGTCTGAATTTCTCTAGCTTCAATTTCCAGCCATTGGATCGTGTTAGACCTTCCTCTGCTAGACCGAAGAGTCCAGTATTAAATGTTTGTTCCCCATGGAGGTACCGATAGCCTGGATCCACTTACCTCTTCACCTTCTCTTTGTTAAGCTAAAGAGATTGTTCTGAGTCTGTCACTTCAAGGCAGGTTTTCTAATCCTTTAATCATTTTTGTGGCTCTTCTCTGACCCCTCTCCAATTTATCAATGTCCTCCTTGAGTTGTGAGCACTAGCACTGGACACAGTATTTGGTTTTACGGGGCTTGCCGCTGCTGCGAAGACTTATGCCCTGGCTTAATGTTACACACATCCCATAAAGATTAAGCATGTGCTCTGTCTAAATGCACCTTTTTCCATAACACAGACAAGGCCTGACAGAGAGAGAGAAACAGAGAAATCTCATGCTTCAGGCCATCAGCGGTCACAGGGGTCAGGAAGGAACTGGACTAGGAGGGTTCTTAATTAAACATTTTAAAAAGCACTGCAGGCTATCATGACATTAGCCCTGTTGTAAGTGGATTACTGTGGGGGAATCTACATGTTAATGTGATAACTAAGATCCAGGCTTTCGAGGGGTCCCTTTCAGAAGCAGTTTCTTGTCCTGAAGGACTCGGTGGTCATTGAGGTTATTCCCGTTCTGCGATGGTGACCAGGTGATGCTCGATCTCATCCTCGCTCAGTGTCCTGCAAGCCACCAAGACAGGGTGTTGTTAATTCGAGACTGCTCTGGAAATGGGCGGGAGGAACTTGTAGGCCAAGAAGTCTTACCGGAATTGGGGATGCTCTGATGTTACTATCCCCACTTCAATCTCACTGGCCTTGAAGTCCGTGGAGAGGACCGTCGATAAGCAAGTAATTGCCAACTGTCAGCCAAGGAAGAAAAAGAAAAGACTTTTTCTACTTTGCATGTGGTTGACCTGTGGAACTCCCTGCTCCAAGATATTACCGAGACAAATAACATAGGTCCTGATTCTTCCACTCTATGACCTGTGCTAGTTTTTTAAATGGGACGTGACACCCCTGGAGAGTAGAATTCAAAACTTTCACCAGACAAGTCACTGCTGAAGGGAGTATTGCATTGTGGGATTGTTAGTGGAGGACTGCGTATACGTTCTAGCACCAGACTGATAGATCTATACCAGCACAGGGCTCACGTTGCTCCAGGAAGGGGATACACTCACCCAGTCATGTACGGTAATGCACGGTTGTGTGGTAACACACACAATGCACAGGCATGCATGGAGACACGCACACACACTGACCTCGACAGGATCCACAGGTGAGCCCTGTTTCTTCTTCAAGGTCTTCTCCAGGAAGCTGTTCGCTTCGGTCTGCTTCACCCCAGCAGTGGTCGCTTTATAGCCACAGTAGTAACCCGCTGGGTCGCATTTGAACAGCTGGGGCCCCAGTTCCTGGTCGATCCCGATCAGGATCATACCTGCTGCCAGAAGCGGGAAGGGAGGGTTCATGGGAAGGGGTGGGATCCTGTGTCTCGAACCGTCCGAACCAGGGGCATTTGGAGCCAGAGTGTGAAGGGGCCCTAAAGGAATAGTCAGTGGCGGTGTGGGGGGAGCTCCTAGGGGACCACCGGGGTCCTCGGGGAGGTGAAAGGGGGGAGGGGGCATTTAGAGAAGGGGAAGAAGTTGGAGGGTTTGCTGGGGCAGCCATGCGGGGATTAGCAATTAAGGGAGGGCTGAGTTAAGGGGGGGGTCTGGGGTTATGGGGCAGGCTGTGAGTGGGGTAGGGGATGGGGGTGATCAGTGATTGAGTGAGCAGGGCTAAGTGGGGAACAGATGGAGGCTGGGTAAAGGAGAGGGGTGACTCTGGGTGAGTCCATGGTGGGGGGGGGGCTCTCCCCTGCCCCCCATCACTCACAGCAGCCCAGGGGTCTCATCTCGGCGTTCTGCGTGTAGACCTGGGAGATGTCAGCCATGCGCCTGCACAGCATCGCCACCGGGATCTCGTAGCCCTTCTTGTACTTCCACTCGGCAGCCTCGTGCCGGGCGCGCTGCACCTGGGACCGGCCGTCGGCTGGGCGGGGAAAGGAGCCCCCGTCAAACGAGGCACAAGCATGACGTGTGTGTGTGTGTGTCACCCTCCCTGCCGCCCCAGGCTGGAGGGTCTAAGTCCTGCTCTGTGTGTGTCTGTCCCCACCGCTAGAGGGAATCAGAGCTGTGTCATTCAATGAGTCCGTTGCTTTCTGCGGGCCAAACAGCTCACAAACAGGATAAAAGCCCTAATACTGCTACACCCAAGAGTCGTCCCCTTAGAGCCTGGCCGCTGCGGAGCTGGAGGACCAGGGTTCCGACCCCTGGCCGGCTCCCACGGACGCGTGGGGCGAGTCACTCCCTCTCTCTCGGCCTCAGTTTTCCCATCTGTACAACAGGGATAATCACCCTGGCTGTGGCTATTTAGAGAGTGAACTCCTTGGGGCAGGGACTATAATGTGCTCTTGTCTGGGCAGTGCCCATCATAACAGGGGCCCTGATCTCAGCGTGTGTGTGTTTGGGGGGGGGGGGTCTGGGCAGCGCCCGGCAAATGGGGCCCCTGATCTCGGTTGGGGGGAGGATCTAGGCAGCACTACATGGGCCCTGATCTCGACGGGGGCCCACAACAGGGGCCCCAATCTCAGCTTGTGGCCCCTAGGCGCTGCCGTAATACCGTGCATTTGAGATCTCAGTGCATCCAGGCTAGCGTGTTTCTAGAGGAGAAAAACTTGCCGGCCAGCCTGACGAGATCACCCCACGCACCTTGCTCTCTAGATCAGGACTTTGGGGCAGCCAGTGTAAGTGTCTCCGGGTCAGATCTAGATCTGGTTTCAGGCCGCCACATGGGGGGATGTGGGGGATTGAACCAGCGAACTCCAGAGCGAGAAGGTGGAGGGGCAGGGCCCAGGCCCTGTTCCGGGGGCGGTCCCAGACTCGTACCCCGCATGGACGGGCGCAGAGCAGGAGTCCCCAGGAATTGCTAACGCCAGGTCAGGATTCATCCCCTGGGAGGGAACCAGAGCCCGCCCCTGGCCCCGGCTTACCACTCATGCCGGTCATGGCACAGCCGATGGTCTCCGTCAAGCGATACAGGTTGGTGACCGTGCTGGGATCCAGGAGCTTATCCTAGGGGTGGGAGTGAAGACACCAAGGCCAGGTGATTTCCCGGCAGGATGCCCCGGCCCGTCACCTGCTGCCCCGGGGGTCAGGCTGGAGGGCGGTTGCCCCGGGGCCCAGGTGGAAATCGCCCCTGCATCCTACGGCTGGACCTGCTCATCCCTGGGCTTTATGTGCCGAGCCGGGTGGGGAGCCTCCAAAGAAACCCGGCAGGGAGCGGGGGCGGGGGCAGTCAGTGCTGACCCCAGTGAGGCGCTAGGGGGCGCTGTGCAGCAGGGAGCCGGGCAGGAGGCTCAGCAGGGGGCGCTCTCCCCGCCCAGTCTGTGCTGACCCCAATGAGGCGCTAGGGGGCGCTGTGCAGCAGGGAGCCGGGCAGGAGGCTCAGCAGGGGGCGCTCTCCCCGCCCAGTCTGTGCTGACCCCAATGAGGCGCTAGGGGGCGCTGTGCGGCAGGGAGCTGGGCAGGGGGCTCAGCAGGGGGCGCTCTCCCCACCCAGTCTGTGCTGACCCCAATGAGGCGCTAGGGGGCGCTGTGCGGCAGGGAGCTGGGCAGGGGGCTCAGCAGGGGGTGCTCTCCCCACCCAGTCTGTGCTGACCCCAATGAGGCGCTAGGGGGCGCTGTGCTGCAGGGAGCCGGGCAGGGGGCTCAGCAGGGGGCGCTCTTCCCACCCAGTCTGTGCTGACCCCAGTGAGGCGCTAGGGGGTGCTGTGCGGCAGGGAGCCGGGCAGGGGGCGCTCTCCCCACCCACTCTGTGCTGACCCCAATGAGGCGCTAGGGGGCGCTGTGCAGCAGGGAGCCGGGCAGGGGGCTCAGCAGGGGGTGCTCTCCCCACCCAGTCTGTGCTGACCCCAATGAGGCACTAGGGGGCGCTGTGATCCAGCAGTGGACACTTTCTCCCCACAGCACTCACAGCCCCCCCCCCCGCCCAAAGCTGGTTGTGGCCCATGATGTGCGAGAGCCCAGGTATGAGCCTTGGGGTCCTGGCCCAACTCCAGCTCTTGCGCCCGTGTTCTTTCTCCCCTAAGGCTCCCCACACGGGTTCAGCTGGCACAAGGATCGGGGCCGCCAGCAAAGAGCCAAGGCTGCCCTCGTTAATGCAGGGCACCATGGGCCCGCCTGACCCCACCCCCCGATCTCCGGCCTGTCCCTCACACGCTGGGCTCCTACCGGTACTTTTTTCTGGGTGACCATGGCCACAGAGTCCTCCCCCCTCACGGCCACGGTGGTCAGCCCCCCCTGGCTGATGGCTTTGAAGGCATATTCTGCAACCAGAGACAGCAATCGGTAAATGGAAGAAGAGAGAGGGAGGTGTGGGGGTGATGGCATTTCTCAAGGGCTTTCCATCAGGGCTTCACAGACAAAAACCTGCATGCTGCTGCATGGGGAAACTGAGGCACACTGGGGGGGGGGCTTGCCTGAGGCCATGCTGCAAATCAGTACGATGTTGGGAATAGAGCCCAGGAGTCCTGATTCCCAGCCCCGCCCCAGTCCTAATCCACTCTAGTTTCACCCCCCTCCCCTCCCAGACCCAGGCATGGAACCCAGGAGTCCTGGCTCCTAATTCCCCAGCTCTAACCACTAGAGCGGGGTGGGCAAACTTTTTGGCCTGAGGGCCACATCTGGGAATAGAAATTGTATGGGGAGCCATGAATGCTCACAGAATTGGGGTTGGGGTGAGGGAGGGGGCTCTGGGCTGGGGGAGTAGGGTGCGTGGGGAGTGAGGGGGGGATGAGGGTTCCGGCTGGGGGTGGGGCTGGGGATGAGGGGTTTGGGGTGTAGGAGGGTGCTCTGGGCTGGGACCGAGGGGTTTGGAGGGCTGGGGGGGGGTTGGGGTGTGGGGAGAAGCTCAGGGGTGCAGGCTCTGGGTGGTGCACTGCCCTGTCCGCAGGCGCCCCCCCCCGCCCCGCTGCAGCTCCCATTGGAGCGCCGGAGGGGGCCATTGGAGCACATAGGAGCCGGAGGGGGGCCATGCCGCTGCTTCCTGGAGCCGCGTGGAGTGGTCCCCGACCCTGCTCCTGGGCTGGAGCGCCAGAGCAAGGCAAGCCCCAGACCCTGCTCCCCAGTGGGAGCTCGAGGGCCGGCTTAAAACAGCTGGCGGGGCCGGATCCGGCCACGGGCCATAGTTTGCCCACCCCTGCACTAGCCCCTGCTGCTTCTCAGAACCAGGACCAGCACCCAGGATTTCTGACACCAACCCTGTACTCTAGCTGCTGGACCCTACTCCCCTCCCAGATCAGGGGACAGAACCCAGGAGTCCTGGCTCCCAGCCCCCTCCCCGCTCTAACCACTAGACCCTGCTCCCCTCCCAGAGCAGGGGACAGAACCCAGGAGTCCTGTTGATTATTCCAGGCCCCATGCTTGGGAGCAAGGGCGCCAACCCCGCTCTGGCTTCAATCCCAAGGGATGAGAAACGTGTGAACCCCCCACCCCAGACAGCACCCTACAGACTGACCCACTTGGTAGAGACGCCCCTCGGGGGAGAAAATGGTGATGTGGCGATCGAAGCCGGCGCTGGACCCACGGGACATTTCGCCGTCCACCCGGGGGCAGCGGGAGGGAGACAGGCAGACAGGGCCCTCTGCAGAGAAACGGACACTCGCCTCTTTCCCTTTCACTTTCAGTTCACCAGTGGAAAGTACCTGCTGGGAAAGGCTGCGTTAATTGGGCAGAACTGGATGCTGCAGAGGGGGTGCTGGGAAAATATGGGGGGGTGATCACTGGGGTTAGGGAGTGCAGGGCAGTCAGGAGGGGGTCAGGTTGGGGGCTCACTGGGATGAGGGTGCAGAGCAGCCCAGTGGGTTCAGTTTGGGGTGGCAGGGCAGCAGCAGGGGGAACCATCCTGCCCTGGCATCTGTCACATTTCTGGGCAAACTGCACCTGCATTTCCCACGTCGGGGGCTCCTCGGCCATCACCTCTTTTGGGCAGAGCCCTGCAGCTCTCCCCCTCCTGACCGGGGTGTTCCCAGGCTCCGCAGCTCCCTGCCCGGTGCTGGCAATCGCCCAGTGAGCCAGACGGCCTCAACGAGCCAACGGCCACGCTGAGCTCCCACCTCCGGGGCTCCGGGCCGCGGAACGGCCCCGCGGTCGCCCGCCAGCCCTTTCTCAGCCAGCGCTTTTATTCCGCAGGTCACAGCATGACGGAGAAACCATGTAAACCTACACGCGGGCTAAAAAGCTCCCCGGAGATCCACCCAGCTCCAGCCTCGGGCACACGTCCATCCTTCCAACCCTTCCCTACAGATTGGAGGCCCCCCTGCGGCTCACGATCCGGTGTGTTGCAGGATCAGAAAGCAGGTCCCAGATCAGGTTAAACCCGGGCAATTTAGCCAAGAATCCTTTCTTTGTTTGCTGCTCTCTGGGGAACCCAGTTTGAACCAGTATATGCAAGCCTCCCCAGCGGGGGGTACCTCTCTGGAGTGAATCTGCCTGATCCCCCATAGTCCTTAGCGGGCTGTGGTCACCTTCTCCCATGGCACTACAGACCATCCCTGGCCCCCCAGTCATACAGAAACCTAAGACAGGGAGATCTCCCCAAGACAGTGCAGGGAATTGCCATGGCTGTCACAGCCCCCCCAAAACCTCAACTCAGCATTAGACCTGAGGCTGCATGTCGCACAGATGCAGGGAAATAGCGGGCTGGTGACATCACCTGGAGTCTAGCCGCCTGCCCCGAGGCAGATGAGAGATGGGGTGTGAAAAATCCAACCCCCCCCCCAAAGCCCCCGTGTAGACGGCGCTCGATGGAAGGGGTGGAGGTGGATTGGCTGCCCCCTCGGGGCGTGAGTGGCGTTTACACCGCCGCGGCACGGGATCGCACTAGGCCTTTGTCAGGGCAGGGTTCCGTCTAGACGGAGGCGGATGGCGCCCTGCTTTGCTCTGCAGCCTGCGGAGTCTGTACCATCCCGGGTGGGCAGCGAAGAGGGGGCGTGAACGAGGCGGCGAGATGCAGAGGGGGCAGCGAGATCACGGGGCAGAGAGGGGGGCCGGAGCTGTTCAGCGCTGTGCAAAGGGAACCCCTGGCACCTTTCAAGACCCAGCAGGACCTTGATACAATGACCCCTGGCTGCGAGGAGCCAGGCGGGGCAATGGACTGGCTCATGCACCTCTGCCCTCTGCTGGCTGAGCGCAGACCTGTGCCTCCATGTGTCATAGTCCCTTAGAGAGCTAATGGGGAGATCCCCCTCTCAGCTCAAGCAGCAGCTGCTTGGGGTCTTGGAGTGGGAGGATGAGTTCTTACCCCGTACAGCAGTGAAAATCCGATGTTCTTATAATCGGAGGTGGAGGGGAGATTTTATAAATTTTGTAATGGCAAATCCAAGGCAAAGGCCTCTCTCCCTGGAGAGGGACCCGAGACACCCAGCCAGACAACGATCAACGTTAGCCAGGTGCAACTGCATCTTGAGGTTAGGGGCAGGCCTGCCAATTTGCAGGCTGATGGGGGATCTCTACTGGCCAGCCAGCCCTGGCCAAGAGGAGGTGGCACTGCGGGTCATACCCCCAGCCCCACTGGAACGGTGGGGGTGGAGCATGGGAGGGCTCTTGTCAAATTCAGGCATCACAAAACGGGGGGAACCTGGGAGAGCAGGGAAAGTAAAGAGATTGATTAGAATTGTCCAACCTTTGTTTCCATCAGTAGATCCCAACGCCCCTCCCACTTTTAGAGGTGGGGAAACCAAGGCACAGAGCAGGAACAGGCCTTGGCCAAGGACACGCAGCTGGCCAGTAACAGAACCAGGACTAGAACGCAGGTGTCCTAAACCTCAGGCAGGACTTTATCCCTCGAGACCCCGGCAAGCCAGAGAGAGGGGCTGTGAACCAGTCCGATTCAGACTGGAGTGGCAGGCAGCCATGGGAGGGGAGAGATTTTCACACATTCAGCCCCTGGGGAGATGAGCTGGGCTCTGAGATCTTCCCCTGAACCAATTTAAGCAGCCTTTGATCTTCCTGCATCTAAATGCAGAAGAGACTGGGACTTCCACGCATATCCTCTTGCTCAAATTTCCACCTGTGTGTGGAGGGGAATAAACCACTAGATTTCTTCCCTGGCTGCTGGTGCAATATGATCTGAGCACCGGCCCGGGTGACGCACAGAAAGAGGGAGACCCCTATTTGATGCACGTACCAGAGATCAGGTGTTCGATGGCTCAAGGCTGAGGGATGCTTTCTGGGGCGGGGGCTCAGCAGAAATCTCAGCGTCAGCGTTTGCAAGGCACTAGTTTGACGGGGTGTAACCAACCCAATGGCATCACAGGCCAGAGGTCTGGAGCTAAGTGTGCAGTTTGCGGCGTTTATCGCGGCTCACAATCAGCCCCAGACCAGGCTCAGGTAACAGGCTCCTGGCCACGAGTTATTAAGCAACACGGATTGATATTTACGGCGCATCAGCTGATCAGAGGAAGATAGAATTTGCCACCTTGTGTGCACCCTGCCCAGTTCCTGCTCGCAAAGGACTTTGCCACTCGGGGAGGGGCTGGTGCTTTCGGATCGAAGAGGGCACAGGCCCAGAGTCAGAGGAGACAATATTTGCACATTTCACACAGAGGGAGATTTCCACACTGAGAGGTGTGGGGCCTGGTTTATTTATTTATTTTTTAAATAAAGAGACGGATGCAAAAAGATGCCGAGCTGGAGGAAAGGGAAACGCATCGGCTACTGCCTGAACGACAAGAAGAAAAAGAAACTGAATTTCCAGGGGTTTGAGGATCTCTGCAGGTAAGGGACAGAGTCTCTGGCACTCAGCGCCTTGGGAGATCCTTGGGAGCAGGGCAAAAAGAGGGGGCAGGTAGCCCAGGGCATGCACAAGGGACTGGGGAAAATGGCTGCATCAGCTACCGGTCTGACTGGCTTTCTGCTTCTAAACCTCTTGCTCTGCATCTCAAGCCTTCATCTAGCTGGGGGGTTAACTGACCCCCAACCATCGCTGCGGGGTCTGAGCTCCACACCCCCTTTTGACGTATTTATCCCTGGGAGGCAGGACTGTTATCCCTACTGTACCGTTGGGGAAACTGGGACCCGGAATGGCTTAGGCCCAGATCCTCAAAGGTACTGAGACTCCTAACTTCCAGTCGCACCCATGCATCTCAATGCATTTGAGGATCTGGGCCAAGCAGGGGACTTGAAACCAGGTTTCCCATATCCAAGGTTAGTACCCCAGCTGCTGCCTACCCTAGCCATGCTAGTTACAGGGTCTGTACCCGCGCCGTAGCTTTTAGCCTCACCCCCAGGTTGCATTATGTCCGAAACGAGCCCCCAAGCAACACCCGCACGGCACCACCAAAATGCAGACACCTCTGGAGGGGAGCATCGCTCATGGCTGAGTGTAACTATCCCAGGACCTTTATAGGGGAACTGGCTCCCACATCCTCCTGCTTTCATTGAACCCTAAGAACTAAGCATTAATTACTGTTTTAGCTGGGGATAGAAGATTGGACGCATTGGCCGAGGGCCCTCGATTAAATCTCTAGTCAATAACTACGCCCCACAGGGATCTGTAATAGTGATACAGAACAGACGGAAGCTCAGTTGCTAAAATCATATAAAATACTTGATGCTTACGTAGCGCCTTTCATCCGAGGGTCTCTGAGCTGGGTCGCTATCGTTATCCCCATTTTACAGATGGGGAAACCGAGGCACAGAGAGGCAAGGGCCCCTAGGGGACACAGCGAGTCAGTAGCAGAGCTGGAGATAAGACCCAAGAATCTTAATTCTAGCCACTAGACCACAGTCCTCCTAAACTGGTGAGGGATCCCAGGAGTCCTGGCTGCCAGCCTCTCTCTGCCTAACCACTAGACTCCCCTCCCTGAGCTGGGAAAGAACCCAGAAGTCCGGACTGCCAGCCCCCTTTCCTCTAACCCATAGATCACACTCCCGACCGGCAGCTGGCAGTCCATACCTCATAAAACTGCTCCCTGCTTTAACCCAGCCCACCCTCCGTAGATCTCACTTCCAACCCAGAGCTGGGGAAAGAACCCAGGAGTCCTGGGACGGATTTAAGGGGTGCCATTTAGGCTCCCAGCACAGGGGTGAATTTCACTCTGACTTTTCTTTGTGTTTTCCCCTCCTGCCCCCATTCCAGCTGCCAGAATTAAAATAGCCCCAAGTCTGTTTCGCACAACAGATGGTGCGCGCTCTGGGCCCCGAGGCTCTCACCTAACATCCTGGCTGGGGCGATGCTCCCGCTTGGCTCCGCGGGGTTGAGCTGCTTCCTTTTGGTTCAGATCAGCTCCCGGCTTGTGTTTTTGCAACATCAGTTGGTCCTTTGCCTCACTGAGGTGGAAATCTGGAACTGGCCAGCACACGCTGCTCTGAGTTCCAGCCAACCCTGCCACCTCAAGGCATTTTACCAAGGAAGTTAATATCATCAGCCTCATTCGGCAGGTGGGGGAAACTAAGGCACAAGACGGGGCAGGCAGGAAGTGACTTGCCCCCATTCACAGAGGCAGGCCTAGAACCGAGGGCTCCCGCCGCCCAGTCTAGTGCTCCGTCCACTAGGCCACGCTGCCTCTGGCGTCCTACACTCTAGGAAGCAAAGGGACTTTCTGGCCACCTGTGACAAATGTTTCGTGTATCTACAAGGGCCCAAACGGGCCCACTGTGGTCTGGCCTCGGGACCCCTCTACAGCCTCCATTACCCTTCCTTCCCTGGTTAGTCAGATTCCCAGGCTGGGACGGGGGCTGGTTTCCCAGCTACTGTGCTGAATTAACAGAGAGCTCAAAACAACACAACTCTCTCTGTCCGTTCACAGCGAGCTAGCGCCCCCAGACCCAGACTCAGAGCCCTGTCCCTGAATGCTCAGAACCTCACCCCCGCGTAGGCTGCCCTTCTAGTCCCCCAGCAGGTCTGCTGCTGCGTCAATTGCTCCCTCCCACCTTATGCAACACCTTCCCCCCTCCTGGGCTCATTCCCTTCACCTGGGCAGCAGGCTACCTGGAGCCATCACCCTCTTAAAGAGCCAGCTTCCCCCAGCAAGTAAGGGGAAACAAGCTGCCCTCGGCTGATGTCGGGGTGGGTCGGGGGATTGGCCCTAGGGTCTGATCCAGAGCTGCTGGGATCCGTTTCCATTGACATCGGATCAGGACCACGGTTTGTAAAGCACTTCAGGAGACTTATTCATTCTGTGACTTGCAGCAAAGTCTAGAGGCACCAAGTGAGATTGTGCCGGGCGCTGCCCAGACCCCAACCGAGATCAGGGCCCCGTCATGCCGGGCACTGCCCAGACCCCAACCGAGATCAGGACCCATCGCGCCAGGCACTGCCCAGACCTCGACCGAGATCAGGGCCCCGTCATGCCGGGCACTGCCCAGACTCCAACCGAGATCAGGGCCGCTTTGTGCTGGTTGCTGGACAGGCCCCGACTGAGATCAGGGGCCCACTATGCCAGGTGCTGCCCAGACACCAAAGTGAGACATAATCCCTGCCCCTAAGCACTCACTATCTAAATAGGCAAAGGGTGGATTATCAACCCCATTTTACAGATGGGGAACCTGAGGCACGGAGTGATGTGCGTGATCCCATGCTTGCAGCATGAATCACAGAATCATTCACCCTAAGGGCACCTCCCTTGCATGTATTGGTTAAAGCCTCTCAGGGTTGGCACACTAAAGGCCCAGCCCTCCCTCGCTCCTTATCTTATCTCTCCACTTCCCTTATCTCTGGCTTTCCCTCCTCTCCTTTCTCCCTCCCCTGTTCTCCCTCACTCTCTGTCTCAGCAGGTTCGAGGGCATCGACTTGTGATGTTTGTATAGAGAAGGAATGAAAGTCCCTCTTTATTATGTGTAGCGAGACACTGCCTAGATGCCACAGAAGACATCAGGGCGCTGCCCAGACCCCCACCGAGATCAGGGCCCCGTCACGCCAGGCGCTGCCCAGACCCCCACCGAGATCAGGGCCCCGTCACGCCAGGCGCTGCCCAGACCCCCACCGAGATCAGGGCCCCGTCACGCCAGGCGCTGCCCAGACCCCCACTGAGATCAGGGCCCCCCTGTGCCGGGTGCTCACAGACACATACAACATGCAAACTTGCACTGAAATAACAAAATCAGTGGTAACTCACACGTTTTGTCAATTGCATGCAAGTTTGTATGGCCCCTGATGTCAGCACAAAAGTTTCCTAGTTTGATAGCGCAATGAACTCAAACGATGATGGATAGTTCAGTGGTTTGAGCATTGGCCTGCTAAACCCAGGGATGTGAGTTCAATCCTTGAGAGGGCCATTTAGGGATCTGGGGGCAAAAGTTGGGGATTGGTCCTGCTTTGAGCAGGGGGTTGGACTAGATGATCTCCTGAGGTCCCTTTCAACCCTGATAGTCTATGATTCTATGACAGTTTTATTCCAAAATGACTGTCCTTGCAGATGCCCACCGAAATCTTGCCCCAGAGCGTGTAGGCCTTGTCTTCATGGGAAAGGGTTACCTTAATTCGGCTCCGAAGCTGCTCCAGGAAAAGCAGCACAAACCCGAGGGTGAAAGCTCCGGTTCCTGTTTAAGAGCCACATAGGTTCGGTTTAGCTTCCACCTGTTTTGATTTAAGCTGAAGCGAAAGAAGACGGGTTTAAACAAACATACGTCTCAAGGCAGGAGCTCGCGCCAGTTTAAAGTTACGCCGTTTTGCCAGTGTTCCCAGCCTTTGCAGAGTCGCTTCTGTTAGGAGGAGAAAGTGGTGCTACAAAGCAGGTGTGTTCTTTGGCACCGTCCTGTTTATTTACAAGAAATGTACACACAGTCCTGGTCTCCTGAGCACGGCCAAAACAGCAGCAGGCAGCTTCCTTGCACCGAAATTCCCAAGTCTGCCTCTCCAGCAGGTCCTGTGCGCAAGAAACAGCGTCTCTCTGCATCCTCGCAGTGACTTCCATTGGCAGATATCCCGCAACCTGCAGCCCAGGGAAAACACCACACTGGGTGCGGCTTAGCTCTGACCTGCCATGCTTTGGGCAGTAAGCCCCCGGCGCCTGCAACCTTCTTGAGCCCAGAGAGGGGCTTCATTCCTCCTCCCATTGAGCCTGAAGCAGGGAGCTCAGCCCAGCGAGGCCTGTGATTGGTGTTGGATCAAAGGCATTAGGACCTTTCAGTATGACACCCCTTAGGTAAAAGGGTGCCACATTCTCCTCTAGATCTAAGTAGGCAAGGACAGAATTATTATCCCCGTTTCACAGGTGGGGAAACTGAGGCAGGGAGCGATTAGAAGTGATTGGCTCAAGTCTGCACAGGGAGTCGGTGGCAAAGGTGGGGGGGTTGATCCTGTGACCCCTAGACCCCCAGTCCTGTTGGCTAATCACTGGGCCCTGCTGCCTCTCTCAGCATAATGCTCGGGTGCAAATCCCTGACTCGGTTTTTCTTTATTTTGTTTGCCCAGGCAACGAGGCTATGAAGTCATTGAGGTGAGTCTGAGCCATGAGTGGCCTGGGAGCAGAGGTGTGCATTGGGGGGGGAGGGGGGCAGGGGATGCTGGAGAAGCAGGTCTTATATGGGAAGCTGTCATCCCGAGGTTTGCTACCGGGAACTTTGGCCATGTGCCAGCAGGCCACGCCGGGTCCGGCCTGGTTGGATGGGAGACCTTGGCACACCCTGATGTTATAGGGAGGGCCGTGGGTGACTCGCAGATGAGTCAGTGCCGGGGAGAGGGTGGTGCCGCAGGGCATGGTGGGGCTGACCCAGGATGCTGGCGCTAGGGGGCGCTGCGCTTCAGGGAGCGGAGTCGGGGTCTGCACAGTTGTTGTGCTAGAACAGAGGTCCCCAAATTGTGGGGCCAGCCCCCACGGGGGGGGCGGGGGGGGGACAGGGAGGGAGCGCCAGCCAGCCTCACTCCTGGCCCCATCCCCAGCCTGGCTCTGCTCCCGGCCCTGTGCCAGCCTCCAGCCTTGGCCCCCTTAATCCCTGCCCGCATCCCCCGCCCAAGCTGCGGCCCCGCTCCTGGGGGGCACAGACGGGGTGAGGGGGGTCGTGACCCTCAAAAGTCTGGAGACCGCTGTGCAAGGGGGTCTGGATATCTATAGGGGAATTACTGCGCTGGGACTCAGAGGGAAGAGAGCCCCCCTATCGAGCTCTGCTCCCTACAGCACCCCCTAGCAACGCATTGGGGTCAACCCTGCGCTCCCCACCCCGGGTCTTCTTGGCCCTGCTCAGAGCAACGCAGAGCTGGCTAGAGGACAGGTGATAAAAATCAAGCGGGGGCGGGAGAATAGGTCAATGGCCCAGCTGCCTGGATACCAGGCTGATGGGCACCCAAGATGGAGCATGCCAGAACCCATCGCCTCCCTCTGCAGAGGGGCTGAGGATTTAAGTGCCCGTCTTTGTTTGCCTGCGCTGGGATCGGCCCCGTCTGTCAATAAGAACTGGTTTAAACTGACAGCAGCTGGCAAAGTCCACAGAGATAAAGCGAGAGCCGTTTCTGGGTGGCACTGGGTGAGGATGACCAATATGGTACGGAGTCAATAAGGCATTAACTCGGGTGGGCGTGGAAGAGATGGGTGCTTTGTTCGCTGGTGTGTGGTCATTCCCCCCCCTCCCTCGGGTGATGAATCATCACAACTTTCAGATAGCGTGAAGGATCAGAACAATTTACAAACTTACGGGCCTGGGGAGGATTCCCTCCCACCCCCGCCCCGCCACCGAAAGGCTTCCACCTCTGGGGTGGGGCAGGGCAGCTGATTATAAAGAGATCACTCCCGCCCCCCCGCCCCACTGAGATGCAGCCACTTCTGGGGAGGGACGCACTGCTTGCTGTCTTTGCCCACTACGCTGCAATATTACTTTGCAGGGGCTCAGCAGGTCCTAGAATGTCTGTGTTCATTGGCGACAACTGGGTTCCTGGCGGTGCTGAGAGTAGTGGGACCAAAGGTGAAAGGCACCGCAGGGTCGAAAGTCAAAGGACGCTGTCAGAAGAGCGGGGCGGGAAGTTTTCTCGCCAAACCCAAACATCTCCTGGGGAAGGGGGCCTCAGGCCTGGAATTTCACTCACAACAAGAGTCAGCAAATAGCCCAGCAAATAGGGGCATGCACCTGGCATTCATAGGCCTGAAGGCACCGCTGTGCCCGCCTAGTCTGACCTGCATCACACATGCACTAATCCCGGTTTGAACTTCGGCAGATCTTTAAAAAGAAAAAAGAAAAGCAGCAGCCCATCCCATCTTGATTTACAAATTGCCAGCGAGGGAGAACCCGCCAGGACGCCTGGCCAGTCATTCCAAAGGTTCGCGATGCTCCCTGTTAAAAACACACGCTTTCGATCCCTTCTGAATTCGTCTAGCTTCACCTTCCAGCCGTCACCAGGGCTCAAATCCCTGCTCGGCCTGAGCTGGAGTTGGGGACAGGAAAGACTGAGAAATCACCCCCCACCCCCCCGAGAAGAGCTAATAGCCTCGAGATCGGAATCCGCTGCTAGGATGGGGAAGACCAAATTATGCACACCTAGGGTGACTGGATGTTCCGATTTTATAGGGACAGTCCTGATGTTGGGGTCTTTTTCTCACGTAAGCACCTATTACCCCCCACCTCCTGTCCCGATTTTTGACACTTGCTATCTGGCCAGCCTACGCACACACGAAAGGGGGTGCGTTTGTGAATTTGCCAGCGTGCCAGTTAGCGATTACAGCTGAAATCTACCGAAGCCGGTTTGCTGATATATAATCAGATCCAACAGCGATTGAGTCCAGCGAGTGTCAGCTTACTAGTTCAACGCTTTTCTTTTCAGATCAACTTTTAACTTGAACAGCATTTCTCAAATCACGACACTTGCTTATTCATAACCAACTACCAAATTATTAATCCTTTAGTACAGGGTAACCAGATGTCCCGTTTTTAAAGGGACAGTCCCAGTTTTGGAGACTTTTTCTTACATAGGCGCCTATTACCACCCACCCCCTGTCCTGTTTTTTCACAGTTGCGATCTGGTCACCCTACTTTAGTACCTAACACATTTGTCACCCTTCCAAGGGTGCGCTTGCCTTCCAGACACTTTGAAGCGTGTGGCTACTGCTCTCTGACTAGGCTGGCCCACCAGGGACCAGGTTCAAATAGTAAAAGCCATGGCTAAAGCAATTCTTTTCGAGCTCTCTTAGGCCACTTTTTACAAAGGAGTTAAAATCTAAAATAAGGTCCTTTGGTGTCTCACTGGAGAGGGTGGACTCAGCAAGGAAACCGACAGCTGGTTATAATGGAAGAACAGAAGGGGGAAACACAACCTTTGGAATTAAATCTCACCACTTCTTATCCCAAGTCTCTTTTCCAGAGCAGCAATGGACCCTGGGTGTCTCCCAGGCCTGGTAAGTGTGGTGACCCCCTGGCACTCTCTTTCTCTGCGTTTTGTTGGCCAAACATGTCCTAAGGTCTCGGATTTGTCCTGATGAGGGCTGGGAAATGTTGGGATGGGTTCCCAGCCTTGCTCTGGGTCCCAGCAAAGAAGGGTTTTTAATCTCCGCTTCTCCTCCCGTCCCAGATTGACTTGGCCAAACCCCTCTGTGAGCAGGGCCCCTTTGACGTCATCATCCACAAACTCTCTGACCTGATCCTCGAGTCCAGCTATGACAGCCAGTCTCACCAGCTCATCCGCGACTTCCAGGTAAGGACTTAGTAGATTCCACTAGGATCTTCCATGACCCAGGCCAAGGCCATCCCCTCCTTCCCCACAATAATTCCTTCTTGAACGGGAGCAGATCTTTAAAAGAAAAAAAAAATCCCCTCTTGATTCAACATGGAGAATCCACCACAACCACTGGTAAGTTCTTCCAATGGCTAATTAACCCTGTTAAAAATGGATGCCTTATTCCCAGTTTGAATTTTTCCAGCTTCAACTTCCAGCCATTGGATTTTGTTAAATCTTCCTCTGCTAGACCAAAAAGCCCATGATCAAATTTCTGTTCCCCACATAGGTCCTTATAGACTGGGATCTTCTCTTTACTAAGTGAAATAGATTGAGCTCTTTGAGACTATCCCTATAGGGCAGTCCTTATTCCCCTGGCTCGTCTCTGACCCTTCTCCAATTTATCAGCGTCCTTCTTGAATTGTGGACACCAGAACTGGACACAGGATTCCAGCAGCGGTCGCACCCGTGCCAAATATGGAGGGTAAATAACCTCTTGACCGATACTCACGAGTCCCCTGCTTAGGTGCACGTGGTGTCTTTGTCTCCCACTAGTGGTAGCTCTGGTTACAGTGCTCCTTAGTACAGGAAGTGCCTTTTGGATTCCGCTCCCCAGAATGCGTAACGAAGCGTCTGAGTCTGGACAGCACCTGCGTTAGCAGCGAGGTGATCAACACAAACCCACTAACTGGCTTTGCGGCTTTAAACCTCCCCCGCCTCCAGGGCTAATTACACATTTGCTTTGGTCCTTCAGACCTATGTGGAAACCTATTCCAGCATCATCCTCCTTGACCCATTTCCAGCTGTACGGCTGCTCCTGGACCGATTTGAATCCTATCGCCTCCTCCAGGACTTTCAGAAGCAAGGTATGCGTTTCTGGGGTCTCCTGGTAAAGCCCAGGTGGCCAATATCCAGTTGCGCTCTTCCCCCAGAACAGACTGAAGCAGTCCCCTAACTCGGAGGCGCTGTCAGACCAGAGAGGAAGGATGGCCTGGTGATCAGAGCATTAGCTTAGGCCTTGAGAGTCCAGCATTCCCTGCTCTGAACCATATTCCCTGCAGGGCAAGGTTAGAGAGAAGGTGGCCAGTGTGAATGCGGTGATGACTCACGGCCCGCTAAGGGGAGCTGGGCCCCATAGAGCGCCTTCTAGAGGCATGGCTAAGAGCTTGGCTTTTGGCTCAGGCAGCAGCCATGTGTGGGAGCCAGGGGTTCAATCCTAACGTGGGGTGGGCGGGGAGAGAGACCCAGTTCTATGGAACAGCTAAGATGTCAAGGAGGGCGGGAATGCAGGAGCTGAGTGGGGGGGGGGGCGTGTGTCTGGGGCTGTGTGTGTTGGGGGCCGGGCTTGGGGGCACAGGCAGGGCTGTGTGTGTGGGAGGGGTGGTGGAGCCTCGCAGTGGGGTGGGGAGCGGGGACAGCTCACACCCATGCAAACCACCCACTCCACGCTTATTTCTGCCCCACCCTGCTCTGCAGACAGCTGCATCTTCTCCCCGCCCTATGTGGAGCTGAACAGCGGGACCGGGCGTGAGGCGGTGGCACGGATCCGGGAGCAGGGCCTCACCTTCCCCTTAAGTGAGTGAGCCCAGCACCTCCTTAATCCATGGGGCCTTTATACCTGGGGGGGAGGGGGAGGAGAACCAGCCTCATGGCACTAGGTGCTGCTGATGAACCAGAGCACCTGAAACCAATCAAAATACGTCCCCTCCTGCCACCTGTCCTGACACCCAGGGAGCTGCTCTGCACCCTGCCATGCTGGGCTTGCAATCCCACCAGTGCAATGAGTTTCCAGGCCTCGGTGCTCCCCGGCTCGCCCTGCCACGCTGAGCCGTGGGCAAAGCGTGGGCTGCAGTGCGGTGGGGATAACAGCCTGCTGCTGCTGCTGGCTTGTGGAGTTGCTCTTTTGGCTCAAGCAGTAGCGGCTTGTGCTCGGGGGGACCCGGGTTCAAATCCTGCTGGTCGCCTGGATGGGGCTGGTTCTTACATTCCCACCTAAGGGAACGCTGGCCAAATAAACTGCCGACTCAGGGCCTCACTGACTATGGGGCAAAGGGAGCCAGAGCAGAGAAGGGGCAGGGCGGGTGGGCAGGGCAGACCTGTGCTCTGGCTATTCTGTGTCCATGCACCGCCCCCTGGGGGAGGAGGTGGGAGCTGCTGCAGCCCCCCAGCCACTGACTGGGGGACGTGCTGGGGGGCTCGGCTTCAGTCACACCCCAACGGCTGGGAGGGGAGGGATTTGGAGTAGAAAGTTCCAGGCCCAGGAGCCCCATTGGCTCTTGTTGGATGAGTCAGAGCCCAGGGTGGAACAAGGGGCGGGGCTAAGTCATCTCACTCCCCACTGTCTCCTCCTCTTCCTCCTTCAGTTTGCAAAACCCGGGTGGCTCACGGACCCAGCTCCCACGAGGTCAGTAGCATCGTGTCCCAGAACCTGCTCGTAAAGGGTTGGCTACAGCTCCTCCTCCTGCGGCTAGGCCACGGGGAGGATAACAGCCTACTACTGTGGCTTGCTAATGGAATTACTCTTTTAGCTCAAGCCGCGGAGGCCTGGGTGGCTGCGTGAGAGGTTGTGGGTTTAAATCCCTCAGCTGACCCATTTTGAGGGGTGGGTATAAAAGCACTAGGAGACTTTGGGGTGGGTGGGTAAGAAAGGAGGGGCAAGTGCCCTCTTAACACACCAAGAGCAATGCCAAAGATCAGGGTGGGGTCAGCAGTGGGGCTGCTGGGAAGTTTTCTATTTAAATAGTTTTTGCTGGAAAAATCAGATTTTTAACGACACAGAAAGTGGCTGCTTCCCACTGGAAAAATCCAATTTTTCCTCAGAAAAAAAAAAAGAACAAAGAACCCCCCCCTGCCCCCAGATTTGGCCCAACACCCAAAAATTTCTATTTGGAAATGTTGCTGGGGTACTTTATGGGAGTTGTCGTTTGGGACCTTTATTTCTTCATGCTCTAGGCACTGAATTCAATCTCCCAGGATGCACCAAGTTATTCTCTTCCTCAGCCCCCACAGTGCATCATGGGAGCTGTAGTTCAGCTGTTTTATGTCTCCTTTCTGTCCCATGGGCTAGCTGCCCAGGGGGACTGCATCTCCCATGATGCACCACTGTGGCTCAGGAGGGGAAAGCTTGGTTCATCATGGGAGACGTAGTCCAGCTAGGAAGCCCCACCAATTGAGGTATGAGGCACCAGGACTGTGTTTCTGAGCCCCTCTCTCCCTGCCGCCCATTCTCTGACCCTCCTAGTCCTCGTTATGCAGCCACTGGGGTGTGTCTGGATGAGACCACACCTCCCAGCATGCTGTGGGGCTGGGCAGTGGCTCAGTATAGGGCGTTGCATGGAACTCCCCGCCTGCAACAAGTCGGTCCAACAGACAGCATTGCAGGCTGGGAGCTGTGCCCCATTCACAGGCCACACCTCTGGTTCCAGCTGCAATTGGCTGCTGGCAAGTTGCCATGGCAACCAGGGCTAGAGGGAGGCTAGAAGGGGGTGGGGCTAAGGAAGCCCCTCCCCTTTCCCCATCCCTCGAGAGAGGCCCCCTATAGACACGTCCCCGCCCTATGGAGGCCCCTCCATCCGTTACCCTGCTCTTCTCCGCTCTCCCCGCCCCCCGATAGATGGCGCTGATCTTCAGTGAGGAGGGGCTGGGGGAGGTGAGCGCCCCCTGCTTGCTCCAGAGCTTCGTCAACCACGACGCTGTCCTCTTCAAGGTCTTCGTGGTGGGCTCCTCCCACTTCGTGGTGCGCCGGCCGTCCCTGAAGAACTTCCCGCGAGGGGAATCAGGTGTGTATGTGGGTGTGTGTGTGTGTGTGTGTGGGAGGGGCGGAGGGAGCACCTGGGCCATCTCCTCCTTTGGGACTCTGTGGTCCCTCCAGCCCTCGGTCTCCCTGCTGAGGCAGCCCAGGGCGGGTGGGGAGAGCAGTTAGCGCCAATCCTGGAAGGGGCGGTTCGGTGCCACGGGCTCCCGTCCCTGGAGAAACAGGGTTGAGGCCCAGCAAGCTCATTGCACGGATGACCATCCGGTTTGCTCTGTACTGAGCTGGAATCAAGCCGGGCAACCTGGGGTGCAAAAGCATTCACGCGCCCTCAGAGTAAGGGCCAGATCCCCAGCCGGGGTCAACCATCCGTTGCCCCACTGGAGGTCAATGGGGCCAGATCCCCAGCCGGGGACAACGGGCATCGCTCGTCAGTTGCGTCAGCGACAGAGTGCATGGCTCTGAACCGGTGACAACTGAACCCGGAGTCTCTCTGGACCCCGGGGCTGGGGAATTTCCCGGGAGCACCCCGAGCCCAGGCGAGCCGGGCTCGCGACCTCGCTCTGTTCCTTACAGCCAGGAGAAGCATCTTCTTCAACAGCCACAGTGTCTCCAAGCCGGAGTCCTGCTCCCGCCTGACTGAGGTGAGTACGGGCGCGGGGCCAGAGGCCAAGAGGAAGAATAAGCGAGCGCCGCAGACAGAGGGAGGCTGGGGAGGGAGCGAATCCACCCCGGGGGGCTAGAGATGCAGAGGGAGAGAGCCTTGCAGCGGCTCTGAGCTGAGGGGGCGCTGTGCCTCAGGGAGTGGGGTGAGGGGCTCACTAGGGGGCCACTGTCCCCCATGCCCCAGTGCGGCGCTAGGGGGCTGCTTTACCCTCTGAGTTATCTGTCCTAGCGGAGGGGATTTGTCCATCTCCCAGAGCTAGCCTTACTCCCTCGGCTTCCTTCCCGGAGACACCCCGCCGGGCGTCCCTCCCAGTGACTCCCCCAAGCCCATGGTGCTCTCTGCCCCTTTGCCAGCTGGATGAGGCGACCCTGGAGCCCACCCCGCCCTCTGACAACGTCATCTGCCGAGCCATGCGGGGCCTGCGCTCCACCCTGGGGCTCTCTCTGTTTGGGGTGGATCTGATTGTGGAGAAGCAGACGGGGCGGTGCGCCGTCATAGACGTCAACGCCTTCCCAGGTGAGAGCACGAGGGAGGAAAAGGGGGGCTCAGCAGGGGGCGCTTTCCCAACAGTCAGTGCTGGCTCTTATGCCCCAGTGTTGCACTAGGGGGCGCTGTGCTGCAGGGAGCAGAAATGGGCAGGGCGTGGCCGCTGTTGCTGCAGAGATCTCTTACTCAGCACCAAGGTGCAGCCACCTCTGGGGTGGTTCAGGTCAGCTGTTTAACATGCAGTGTTTGTAAGGGGCTCTGGGACGCCCTGGTACAGCCCGGATGACTCTTTGGTGGCCTCCGCAGGTTATGAAGGCGTCCCGGAGTTCTTCTCAGCCCTCCTGAATCACATCGAGACACTGTTGGAGAGCCACGAGCAGGCAGCCCGGGCCAGGGTGCTTGTGGCTGAGTATTCCCTGCACCAGCAGGCATCACATGTGGACAAGGCCCAGGAGAGCACCCACGACACCGACCTGAGGGCCCCTTGGCTGGCCAATTCCCTCGAGACCCCCAAGTCGGCACCGGCTGAGAGCAGCTTCTTCACCTTCGCCGTTCTGCCTGCCGTGCTCTCCCGGCACTGACGGGGGTGCTGTGTCGGCTGGCCTCTCCGAGGGAGCAGGGAAGCGCTGGGCATCCAAAGAGAACAGGAGCGACGTCGTGCCTATCCCAGCGGGGAAAATTCCCAAACAGCCGGCATCCGGAGCCAGCAGGATCTCAACAGGAGCCACCTCTCTGGGGTCACAGAACTGCACCTCCCTGCTTGGACCAGACCAGACCACCGGTCCATACAGTCCAGTACTACACCGCCCTTCCTGTATGGACCAGCTCAGACCACTGGTCCCTATAAGTACAGCACTGAACCTCTCTGCTTGGGCCAGATCAGATCAGCGGTCCATATAGTCCAGTATTGCACCTCCCTTCCTGCATGGACCGGATCAGACCATTGGTCCATATAGTCCAGTACTGCACCTCCCTGCTTGGATCAGCCCAGTGTTCCATATAGTGCAGTCCCTTACCTCCCTGTCTGGATCAGACCAGAGCCCTAGGTCCAATCCAGCTCAGGTCACCGGTCCGTATAGTGCAGTACTGCACCTCCCTGCTTGGACCCAACCAGACCAGACACTACGGGTCCGTATAGCCCAGCCTCTTCGCCTCCAGCACTCAGTAAACCATACCCCCATAATGCACACCCTCGCAGATAAGGACTGACTGTCCTCTTGGACTGTTCCAAATCCAGCAGCAAGGGGGCTGCATGTTCCAAAAACTCAAAGGGGTGGCCGAGCCACTCACGCCCCCTGGCGGGGTGATGGCAAAAATGCAGACAACATGGGAGCCGTGGAGAATAAATCGTACTCACGTCCCAACCAAAGGACTTGGGGTGCTAGGTTGTGCTGCATGCTGGGGCCTGTGGGGGGGGGGAGATTGAGTCCCCTCTTATTCGATTCTCCTTCCTTGAAAGGAGTCTCAGCACTGAATTAAGGCAGGGGACTGGCTGCTTCTGTTTTCAAAACCCCCATGGGTTTCCTGGCCTGTCCCTTGGGCCATGGGATGCTCTCAGCCTCCTGGAGGGGAATCTGCACCCCCGCAGAGCGGGATCTGAAAGGGCAAATGCCACATGTGGAAAGTTTTATTGCAGACTATGAAGGGGGAGAGGAAGGGGACAGAGGGCAGGAGGAAGGCTGTCCAGTGAAGTAGCAAGACCCAGCTGACAGGGTTTTAAAAACAATAAAACTAAGATTTATTTTAAAAAACCAATAGAGCTTCCATACCATAACGCCACCAGCCAGAGGTCCTTCCCAGATACCTTTCGTCCTGCAGCTCTGACTCCCAGCCAGAGGCCAGGGAGTTTTATAGAGGGATTCCCTACCCAGAATCCTTTGCAGGGAAGGAAGCCCCCTCCCTACTCTCTCTGGGCGATTGACAGCCCATCTGGCCAATCAACTCTTTTTCCCTCATTCCTCACTCTCCAGGGCTTCCCCTCCAATGCCAAGTGCCTTGTCCTGAATTAGCTTGATCCACTTTGGAAGTGGATTAGACTAATCCGGAACAAGGTGTTCTTATTCCGGATGAAGAGTGTGGATGGAATTAATCGGGAATAGTCAATCCGCTTTCAACTCACACCATCTCTGCACGGGGAATAACTTTCAAGTGTAGACCAGCAACTGAGCGCTGCCATATACCAGAGAAGATCGGTCGAGGTCTGTCTGTCGTGTATCCAGACATAAAGGTCCCTGGGTGCGATTCCCATGACACAGCCATTCTGTGCCCAGGGGAGAACCTGACCTTGTCTTGAAACAAGTGGTGGGCAAAAAAATTCCAACCAAAACCTTATTTCTGGCAGCTTCGGTAACCCCAAAACATTTCGCGACGCTGTGTCAACTTTGCCAAATGGTTTTGGTTGGGAAAAGACCTGAAAAAGAAATGTAAGGAAGCTGGAAAATTTTGAAATGTGTCATTTCGGCACAAAACCGCTTAGGTTTCAGTCAGAACAAATTTTTTTCCTTCCAGTCTTGTTTTGAAAATAAAAGGGAAGGAAATCCAAAGCATTCAAACCCATTCAAAATCAAAACGTTTCCTTCAGCCCGAAATGACATTTTTCAGCTTTTGAATTTGCCCAAAGTTTTGAAAAAAATTGGTTTTTGGGTTTGGTTTTTACTCAAAATGATTTTTTCTTTTTAACCATTGTTTTGGAATTGTCGGCAAACTGAGAAATCGGTTATTCACGCCGATCTCTTTGGGACGGGCAGGTAGGGGGACCCGATAGCAACTGTGAGACAACGGGACAGAGGGTGGGGGGTAATAGGCGCCTATATATGAAAAAGTCCCCAAAAAGGGAACTGTCCCTATAAAAACGGGACATCTGGTCACCCTAGATGGGCTGCATCAGTGGTGAATCCCACAGACCCCTTTGAAATTTCTTGTCTCCGCCCCCACTGAAATATACATGTGCTTGTAAGTTTCCAGGCTCCTCACTCTCCCTGAAAATTTTGATGGCTACATTTTGATAGGCTAACGAATGGGAATAAAAGCCGAGATTATTATTTTGAGGGGGTAGTAAATGTCTGTCCTTGTCTGACGGGGCTCAGGAGTGGAAAGGGGCTGCTATGAACACAGCCAGGGCGGAGGAGTACGGAGGAAAGGGCCGTGCGGGTGAGGTGAGGAGAACTCATGCAAATTCCACGCAAATTTCACCTCTAATTGCTCTCATTTGCATGCTTTAATTATGTAAATTAGCCACCATTTTTAGGCTCCACCTCCTTCCTGGTGTGCTGTTGGTTACCTTGCCACTCCATAGCCAGCTGGAGGAAGTGGTGAAGCCAGAGATCCCAGCATACAGCATCCATTAGCTCACTTGCTCCCATCGGTGAATTAAGCGGCTCCGTGGGGCTCTGATTTTCTTAATGTCCCCCTGGGGTACTTTTAATTATTATTTATATCATGGTAACGTCTAGAGGTTCCAACCAAGATCAGGGCCCCGTTGTGCTGAGCGCTGCCCAGACCCCGACCGAGATCAGGGCCTCATTGTGCCGGGTGCTGCTCAGAACGTGACCGAGATCAGGGCCCCCCGTTGTGCCGGGTGCTGCTCAGAACGTGACTGAGATCAGGGCCCCCTGTTGTGCTGGGTACTTCAGAGGCACAGTAAGAAACAAGCCCTTGTCCCAAAGAATGCACAATGCTTATAGACAAGGGGAGGATCATTATGCCCATTTTACAGATGCAGAAACCAAGGCCCTGAGAGCTGCCAGGACTTCTCCAAGGTCACACAAGAAGCCTGTGGCCGGAGCAGATCTTAGGTATTCCCATCACACAGTATCTGAGTCACTCACCATTGTCAATGTACTTATCCTGCCAAGCTCCTGCTAAGACAGGGGAAGGTTTTTATCTCCACTGTACTGCAGGGGAACCCGAGGCACAGAGCAGCCTGGCATACGGTCACACAGGGAGTTTGTGGGTAGAGCAGGGTCCTGAACCCACATCTCCAGTGGCTGTTTTAACCTTCGTTCTGCCAGTGTCACGCCTTGAAACTCCCACTGCAACGTGCCGCTCACCCCCATCACATGATCGAAACAGAAAACCCCGGCATCGAAACAGACACGACACGAAGGAAAGCTGGCGGGTCGGAGTCTGGTTTTCACTGTGCTTTATTGGTCCACAGAGCTGGCTACACAAGGACAGGGATCTAAAAAAACCAAAAACAACCCCCCCCCCCCCCAAACCCCAACACCTGATAGACCAGGCCATCAAGCAGCTACACAGCATCAGCACCTGCAAGAGATGCGCTCATGGCCTACGGGGAGGGTGCCGGGGGAAGAGAGTCCTCCAGCTTGAATGGGAGGTGGGGGGAGAAATCAGCAAAAAAACCCAAAGTGAAAAGCCCGAGAGACCAGGATTGGGAGGATCAGGGCCGCCAGAGGCGCCAGGTCCGAGGGATCTCGCTTTAGGAATGTAGCTAGGGAATGTAACCACTGCTTTGTGTTACCTATGGATGGGGTGTGTGTGTATGAATGAGTGAGAAAGACCCCTGCAGCTAATACAATAGGCTTCTCTCTGCATCCCCTGCCTAACATACAGGACGTGTCTGTGTTTTGTCGCCCCGCAGCGAGGATCAGGCTATGGCTGCAGCCTGCCAAGCTCCCAAGCCTGTACTTATGGGGCGACAGGAGGTGGGTTCCTGCTGCGTGGGACAGAGCAGACCCTTACAGACACTTCTGGGGTCAAACTCGTCCTGTCTCCTCTCTGATGCCCCTAGAAGTCTCCAGACTCTGAGGGCAGGACGGCTGCGGGGACGTTCAGGTCAGACCAGACCAGGCTTCTTGCGTGCGAAGAGACCTCTCCTAATTACCTCGCCTTTCTATGAGTGATGAGCTGTGTGTGACCGACCTCTGGGGCTGCAGGCCTTCCCCCCGTCACATCCCGGGCCAGGAGAGGCTGGGTCCCTGTCTATAGCCCAGCAGGAATCACAGAATCTGAGGATTGGAAGGGACCTCAGGAGGTCATCTAGTCCAAGCCCCTGCTCAAAGCAGGACCAATCCCCAGTTTTTGCCCCAGATCCCTAAATGGCCCCCTCAAGAATTGAACTCACAACCCTGGGTTTAGCAGGCCAGTGCTCAAACCACTGAGCTACCCCTCCCCCCTTAATCACACCTCGCTCCCCTGGTCTGCCGTGGAAACTCAGCAGCCCCCTTCGCTGAGGCGGGATCCGGCACCCGCACCTCCCCACCGGGGCGACGGGAGCGGGAAAGCCCAGGTGGGACAGACGCACAGAGCCCTGGGCCTTGACCTCATCAGCCAGGCCAGCTGGGTACACGTCAGCTGTACCTTCTCCAGCTGACCCCGCCCGCCCCCCGCTATGCAGGCCCCCTGCCCCTCGGCTTTCCTGGTGCTACTGCGGCTGCCTCCCCCCATCTCCCCTCCACCTCCAGGCCTCCCGTGGGCCTGACAGGCTGAGCGCGTCTGGCTGCTGGTGAAAATGACCCCTTGGGAGGCGGGCAGAGCTGACCCCTGAGCCCAAAGCGATGGTTGGGTGTCGGGGGCGGAGGGGTCAGGGAAACCGAGGTTTCGAGGACCAGGCAGAGCCGCCGGGTCCCACGAGGCTGCGTGTTAACTGCCAGAGTCCGGCTTGCCCAGTGGGTGGGGAGCCAGGCAGGTTCCCCCCCTGGCACCGGAGGGTCCCCTCTTTCTGTCCCTTCTTTGGTGCCCCACAGGGGGTCTGCATTAAAGAAGAGGCCACAAGTGAAATAAACTTCTCCCTCTTGGGCCCTGGGGGTTGCGGGGGGGGGAACGGCAGAGAATAGCCACAGCACAGTGCGCTCTGGCCACGCCCCATAGCCACCCCCTCTGGGTCCTGGGGGGCAGAGGTTAGCCACAGCGCAGCGTGGCTATTCACCCTTTATACCACGCCAGCTGCGGGCAGTTCTCAGGGGGACATTCCTACCCACTCGGTACCCCCAGAGCGCACAGTTGCTGAGATCTAGGGTGCCCCCCCCCAACATCTCTCGCCCTCCATTGCTGGGGAGGGATGTTTACTGCATGGAGTGGGTGGGGAGGGTAGGTTGGAGGGTTGGTTATTTTCCTTGGCCTCAGGTCGGGCTGGGTCCCTGACGGAGTGGTGGGGGGGCGTGGGGAGCAGATAGAAAATCACAAGCTCTGAGGCTTTGATAACAGTCCACAGCCGAGTGGAAGAGGAGAGGAGGGATATATACAGAGAAAGCACATGTGTGGGGGTGCCGGGGCGGGGGGTGACTCTTAAAGGGGCGGCTGCCCCTTTGTCCCCCTCCCACGGCTCCCTGCTCCCCTAAGGGGGCTGGGGAGGTCATCCTCTCTTCAGCTCCCGCAGCTTCTCCGCCACCTTCTTCAGTGCATGCTCTATCT